TGCAGTACGCGGGCCTCTCACTGCTGCAGCCTCTCCCGTTGCGGAGCACAGGCTCCGGACGCACAGGCTTAGCGGCCACGGCTCATGGGCCCAGCCGCTCGGCACGTGGGATCCTCCCGGACCGGGGCACGAACCCGCGTCCCCTGCATCGGCAGGCGGACTCCCAACCGCTGCGCCACCAGGGAAGCCCCATCATTGACTCCTTGCCCTGTTTCCCCCTCCTCTTCTCTCTTTCTCCCCCCCGCCCCCGCCTCCACCTATATATGCTACTATTGTCTTCTTTCTGAACCATTTGAGAGCAGGCTGCTGACCTGAACGCCCCCGCCCCACGTTCTCCACGTTGGTCTGCTCGCGGCCAGGACACTCTGTGCACGACCACGGTCCAGCTTTCGAGCCCCACGTTGCAGGTGACCCCGTCCTCTTGTCTCTCCCCCAAGTCCATCTGTCCCCGCATATCCACGTTCCCTGCCATCCCAGGACCTGCCCATCCTGTGTCCTGGTCTCCTGATCTGGGCTCTTCCTCTCAGCCTTGCTCCATCTTCGTGACTTGCCATCGCCCAGACTCTGATCGCCCGTGGTCCCGTTGTCCGACTGTTGCTCTCCCTGGCATGGAACCCCAAAGCCAGGGTTGCAGCCTTGCCCTTTATACCTCAGATCTGGGGCTTCTCTTCTGTAACCGCGGCACAAATATCAATTTCAGGGAGTTTAATTTAGATCCAATACTTTAACCTATAGAACATACTCGCTCTCACTCATTGCCCCCATAAGAAGGCTATCACAATGTTACTTCTGGCACAGAATCCAGTCTGGAGTTAAGGGTTACATTCAGTTGTCATGTTCTCCTATTGTTTTGAAGCAAGTCCCAGACACATAATTTCATCTGTAAACAGCAGTATAAACCTCTGAAAGAGAAACAGTAGGGTTCCAATGCCATCATCACACTTAAAGACGATGTCCTTTCCCGAGTATTAAGTGTCCAGCTGCCTCGTCCACGTCCTGGTGGCTTTTCCAGGAGGAACAGGGTTAAGATAAGGGCCTCCACCTGACAGTGGGTGTGGCCATCCTGCTGGGGACCCTGCCTTCTCTCACGAGGTCCCGTTGCTGAAGAAACCCGCGTGTGTGTCCCGTAGGGCCCCTGGCTGGAGTCTGCTGACCTTGCCCTTGTGGTGGCCTCCATATCCTCTCTGATTCCTCTGGGGGCACTCAGGCCTGCCTCTGTCCTTGCTGGGGCTCGGACCCTTCATCTTAGCTGAGCAAGGGGGATGCGGGTGGATGCTGGGCGCGTGTCGCGGGACCCACTTCCCTGTGCCCCCACCTGAAGTTTGCCCCCAGCCGTCTTTTTGTCCCATGGAGAAGCCCTGTCCTTCCTTGCTGACGCTTCTGGGGACCCTGACTGCCGTGGTCCCCGGGCTCAGGTGAAGCTTCCGTTCCAGGCGGCGAGGGTGTGGAGTTTGCCCTGGCAAGCGCAGGGCTGTGAGATGTTAATGGAGAACTGGCCCTCCTCTCGGGGGCGGGAGGAGGGCATGTGGGGCTGAGGGCTGGGCTGGGCACTGCGGGGGTGCTCCAGCCGTGGACAGGAGACTGCCCATCCCCTGGTCTGCAGGCTCCGAGAGGAGCCCTCTGGGAGAGGGTGCCCCTGTTGGGCTGTCGGTTGGCTCCTTTTCTCTGGAGACATCACGGTGCTGGGTGCCCACTGGGCCAGGGGCTGGGCCAACTGGTGGGCAGCCCGGCCGGCCTTCCAGGAGCTGCATTTCCAGGGTGATTCCTTCTTCTCTTGTATGTTTTCTCTAATCCAGATTTTTAGTAACGATTTCTGAGTGGTTTTGTCTTTTTCACACTGGAAATGGACCTTTATTTGAAACAAGTCCCAGTCTGTCTTCTGCAGATGCACTGGGCACTGGGCCAGGCTGGACCAGACTGTGTCCTTTCCAAACTCTGTTCCTTGAATCTCAGCGACTCTTCAGGGTGTGGGAGCCCCTTCCTACCCAGGGCCCACAGACCTCTCGTCCTCTGGCCTCAGACCTGGGTCAACCCCGGCTCCCCCAGCTGCGGTCTCCCCATCTATAAGGTGTGGCCATTCCAGTACCCGCTTCAGGGTCAAAGAGAGCATGTGCTCATGGTTCGTTGTGATTATGTGTGTGTGCGTGTGTGTGTGCGCACGCGTGCGTGCATGGGTTACGCTTCAGCAAATACGCTTTTAGAAAAGCTTGGAAACCGTGGTCACCCCCAGGCCATCTGGTTGGTGGACTTGGAGTTTGAGTGAGGGGATACGCAGCTGCCCTGAAGGGTCACTGTGGCCCCAGCAATACCACATCCTGCTGATCCTGACAAATGGCGTGGCAACCAACATGGCGGACATGCGTGAGGCCATCCTGCGTGCCTCCCACCTGCCCGTGTCTATCATCGTGGGGACGGGCAACGCCGACTTCACCAACATGCAGGTCCTCGACGGCGACAGTGGTGTCCTGTGCTCCCCACGGGGCGATCCTGCCCTCTGACATCTTGAAGTTTGGGCCCTTCTGGGAGCTCAAGAACGTGAGTGCTGGGCGGGTGGTCGGGCGGGTCCCTCGGGCAGCGCATTGGGGCCCCGGGCCTCCCGCCGTTCTGAGCAGCTTTCGGCCCCTAGAAACTTTTGCAATAGGGAAGTGTCACATGGATGCCCCCGGAGGGCAGGGCTCCTCTCAGGCAGCTCCCCGCTCCCTTTGTGATGTGGAAAGAACTGCCTGTCCTGTGGACACACGCTCACAGCTTCACTGGGGACTTGGGCCTCCCCTCCTGCCTCAGCCACTTTGCCCCGTGCCCAGAGCAGGGTCATACCGACCCAGAGGGGCCCACCTGTGCCACCGCAGTGCCAGTGCGGGCGGACTGCCCAGCGACTGCGTTCTCATCGTTAGCGCAAGCTCACCCGGCCGCCCACTGGGTGAATTCCTGGTCGTGGTCCCAGGAGCTGGTGCACGACCCATACGGGGTGGAGGTCATGGTATGAATGGCGGCTCTAGGGGAGGGGGCTGGGGGATGGGAAGCCGGCTGGAGGCACACTGTCCCCACCCACAGGCGTCCCCCGTGGCGCTGGCCAAGCGTGTGCTTGCCGAGGTGCCCAGGCAGCTGGTTGAGTATTAAAGCCACAAGGAATGCCTCTGAGAGACCTCGGCGAGAGCAGCCCGGGCTCTGCTCCGTGAGGACACACGGTAGGGGGCCGGCCAGGACTGTGTCCACCATCTGTCTGTAGCACCCTCCACCCCGACTGCCCAGGGGCCTTCCGTCCCCCAGCACACACCCACCATTGGCTCCTGTGACCCTGCTGCCTGGTGGGCCAGCCTCCCTCCAGGCTCCAGGGCTGAAGGAGGGACAGGTCCCCCTGGGCACGCCTGACCCTGCCTGAGCCTGGTGGGTGGGGGTGGGGGGTCTGGGGGATTCCTGCTTTCGCAGCTGATCTTCATGGGGGAGGGGGCAGCAGGCAGAGTCCTGTCTCTGAGAAAACCTAGACGCCCCCGGACACCCATCCCTATAGCCAGATTCCTCTTTGTCCCAGCTGCATCCCCTTGTCTCTCTGTGTCTGTGGGGTCTCTGGGGGTGGGGGCAGGAGGCTTAGGCAGAATAAAGTGTCATCTTGTCTTCGCAGCTGCTTTGTGCCTTTACTGCCCCCCAAGCAGAGGCCTGCAACCCCTGGAGGGATGGGGCGGTGCATGTGTGCCCTGCAGCTCCCACACTGGAGCCGGGGGCTTCTAGTCAGGCTCACCAGCTCCTTCCTGGACTGAACCAAGGGCCCTCCCAGGAGTGAAAGGGTGCAGGGGGCCATTGCTTGACCGTGGGAAGGGCCAGACGGTGCGATGGCCACCTCTCCCCGAGCAGCCTCCTCTTGGCTCCTGTGATACCCTGCCTGAAATCTGCAGCAGCCAGGCTGGGGTGGGGAAGGGCTGCATACACTGGGCACTATGAGGATGCACTGGGGGCTGCATGCTATGGGCTCTGTCAGGGGAGGGGTCACCACCTGCCAGCGCCTCCCAGCCCTCTGGGGGTGGATTTCCAATTGAGATTTCCCCTAAATTATCTTGTCGGGGAGAAACAAACTGTTCCGACCCTGAATCTAGGCCTACCCACCCTTCCATCCGTCCATCCATCCACTCTGGGGGCCTATTTTTAGCTCCTGATTCATCTCCCGTTCAGCGGGGATAGTGGGCATCGCCATGGTAACCTGGCTACCGCTGAATTCCAGAAGGGCCGATATTGGTCTCTTTGGGGATGTGAGGACACCCAAACAGCAGCCCTTCCATCCACATCTGGGAGGCAGCAGGGCTGCAGAGCGGCGGTGACGTGGTCCCGAGCAGCGAGGGTGAGCCAGCAGCAGCCCAGCCGCTGAGTCCTGTGGGAGTGGGTTGCCATTTCAGCGGCAGAAAGCCATGGACAGTTCCTGGGCCCGGCGAAGCCAGCAGAGGCTGGTCAGCTGAGCTCCCTGGAGAGGCAGAAGCCAAGAAGAATGGGAGGGGTCCATGCACAGCACAGGGGCGGCCATGATGGCCCCGGGAGCTGTCGCCTTGGTGGGATGTAGCCTCTCCCAGAGCACGTGGAGCAGGGAGGGGGCCGAGGTGTGAGGCCCCAGCCTCTCACCTCTGGCCGACAAGAAGCAGAGAGCAGTCGCGTGTCAAGGGTGGGGGGGGGCAGCCCTCAGAGGATGCCCTCCTGGGGCCAGAGGAGGTGTGGACGTGAGGACGATGGGGGGCAGTTGTGGGGCCCGGCCAGTGGGTGGTTCGCCTGGGCACGTGCAGGTGTAGGGGGGCTGCTGAGGGAGGTGGGGGCAGGAAGGTATCAGCTGGCTCAGCTGCACAGGTGTGGTGATTTTACCAGCCGGTGCCCAGCCTGAGAAGGCGGCCACCTCTGCCCACAGGCAGAAAATAATAAAGTGATTACTGCCCCAGGGGCGGTTCAGACGGGCACTGACTGGTCTTGCCGGCCCGGCATCCGTTCCCACCTCCTTCCTTTGGGGGCCGTCTCTCAGTCCATGTATTTCGTGGGCCTGGACCACTGTCCACATCCAGGGTGGACACGACCCAGGCCTGGCCAATCAGCGAGCGTGCTGTTCCCTGGCCACTGTGATTGGCTCTGGGTGGGCACTCCACCTGGCTGGACAATGAGACTAGGTCCTGAGATTTTCCTGCAGGTTGCTAAGTTGATGGGATGGGACCCAGGAGCAGCTGGTGACCACTGCTGCCACGTGGGCAAGGCCTGAGGAGGAAGCCGGCATAGAGGAGGTGGACCAAGAAATGGTGCTGGGGCCATGTGGATCCGCTCTTC